AGTTGAGAAATATAAAAGATTTGTATCGATGGATTTTTTTTTATGAGTATTTAAAGATGAATTTTCGACAAAATCTTGAGAATATGTAAATAATTTTGTTGTTAGAACTTAATAAAATGTTTTATTTTATGCCTATAAGAGTTGAAAAATTGAATACAAAGATTCTCATAAATGGTTCATAATAAAACCAACGAAATATAGGTTGTTYATAAATACATACAGTTTTGTAATGGATATTTTAAGTATTTTCAGCTCTGTTAAGAAAATTAAAAATGAATTATAATATTCTTCATGCTGTTGTAAGTGGAAATCAAAGAAAAAGTTGTGCATAAAATCACAATAATTTTTTATGAACATCTGGAGTTAAATTTTGACAAAATTCGTTAAAATCAAGACAAATTGCAAATTATTTTAAGTTAAAATTTTTTTAAATCTATCTGGCAGACCTTAGGTATTTGCTCAGAATTATATTTTCGTAGATATACAATGGTTTAATATCAAAATTTAACATATCAATTACAACGACTCTTCTGACAACTACTGAACAGTATCGAGAGTTACCCACTTGCCAATTATTTTATTTTAATTGAAATTTTTTCATGCTTATTTATGAATTATGTTATGTTATTTTATGTTCCCTTATTAGTTATATTAGTTCATCGTTACAAGCTTGTACTGCAATGAGTCCGGATAAACAGCTTAATATACTGAAAGATATGTGGCGAAAAGAAAAAAACATTGAAATCGTCATAAGTAAAGAAGACAACGAAACAATTGCATACTATTTGAATGAAGTGAGATGATATTTTTATATTATATTTTTTTTTAGAGGATCAAAAAGTTCTATATTTTTTCTTGGTTCGTTTTATCAAAGGATTAGGCTTTGTCATATTATATGCAGTACCCTATGAAAATATTTCTAATTAACAACCTTAATAAGGTTCAAAAACAATTTCAACGCGTGTTCGGTTATAAATTAAGTTTATCTGATCAATTAATACTCTTAATATAGAAAGAAAATGCAACATAATGTCTTTATTATCATTGAAAATTTAAACGAAATCTTGTATTCTTGTTTCTATAATATTCAAAATACTAAACGGTAAAAATAGGGATCACATACGTCCCGTATTTGAAGGAAGTGTTTCGGTGTCCCGACAAAAGTTTAAAAATAACACTTTTGTCCCGTATTTTGGATAATCCGTCTCGTATGTACCTGATTTTAAAAATGACATTTTTTTTATATCAATCGGCTTTTTAAATTTTTAATTATTGATAAACTATACTATCTAATTCAAAT